CCTCGCCGCCTCCTGGGGCCAAATGTCCATCGCCAACCAGAAGCCCCTCTCCCGCGGCACCGTCCGCCCCCGCTCCGGCTCAATCTTTGACGGACCCGTGGTCGACCCGCGCTACTGCGCCGACCCTCTCGACTGCAAAATCATCCGTCTCGGCCTACAACTCATCCAACGCCTCATGCGCACGGAGGCAATGACGCCTCTCCAGCCCATCGTGGAGGATCCGCGTTTGAACTCGACGGACGAGACGGAGCTCATGGCGGCGCTGAAGCCGCTCGTCGGCACCGAATATCACCCCAGCGGTACGACGAGTATGATGCCGCTGGAGCTGGGCGGGGTCGTGGACGCGGAGCTGATGGTGTACGGGACGTGCAACCTGCGCGTTGTCGATGCCGGGATCATGCCGCTTGTTCCGGGGGCGCATATTCAGGCTGCTGTGTATGCTGTTGCCGAGAAGGCTGCGGATATCATCAAGGCTGCTGCGGGCGAACCGGACTTGTGTCCTTTGGGTCGGCCGGAGTGGCCGCCTGTGTAAGGGGCTGGATCGTTGAAGATTGAGGATTGTGGAATGAGTGTGGTGGATCACAGCACAGGATGGCAGAGAGATTATGATGAATTGAACTTCATGATCGATTCAACGTCGATAGTAATGATGATCAGGCGGTCGATCGATCGATCATATTAACTGACTATTGGTTGATTGAAATAACCAATTGTTCTCGTGATGACCCTGAGATATAAGCTCAAAACCCCCACCACAATGCCGCAATCACCAAGATACCTATGAAAGAGGGACAAAAAGAGTTCACCCCCCCGGTGCTGAACTGAGGGCTACATCTCTTGGTGCTCATGCTGGGATTCGAACTCGGGTACTATCGTATGCGCTAAGCCTGTCGTCGAGTAGGCTGGTTGGTGTAGATAATTGATTGTTGACCATTAACCACTCCACCACCCAGCCAGTTTGACCTGACCCGTCGACCTAGACGGGCGCCTGCTGGCTGGTGACAGGATTGGGATTGAGGGGGTATATAAAGGTATACGCTGGGCAGGCGAGACCGGAATACTCGTGCGTCTGGCCGTACCTGCCTTACACTGACTACGCTTTGTATACCGTATACGCTCCTCAAAGCTTTGCACGCCAGCCCGAAGAGCGATCTATCTTGCGGACACATGAGCTGTTACTTTACTTTCTTGTGGTCTGGTAGGAAATCAACGCCAAATGAAAGCTGCATGAAGGAGTATTGAAGCCCATCATCAACGGTCCAGGATTTCTACTCGGCCCTAGACGTGTCAGAGATGCAGAGTGTCGCAGATATCACTCTAATACCCGACCTTGACGCAAAGCAAAGTACTGACGATGTGTAAACAACCAAGACTTGAATGAATGTAGAAATCGGACTCAATTATATTCATCACAACCCCATATCTAGTCCAAAGAAAGAGACCGCCTTGGCCCCGCCTACAACCCCTTCATAAACTCCAGCAACGAAATCGGCTTCCTGACAGCATTATTCAATCCTTCATGGTACGTAACCCAGACCTTGTTATCACTCTTCCCGCCCTCGTGGTGATCGTGCGTCTTCTTCCTCTTGGCGTTGCCATCCATCTCGCCCAGCGGTCTTGCAGGAATCACACGCCCGAAAAAGTCCTTCTTCACGCTCGACGCGAGGATCCTCTCCTGCTCCTTGATCATGTTCTCCTTATCCGCCTGTTGTTGCTGCTGCGAAGGTGTATCCTCTGCCCCTCCTAGTGGTCCACCAACCTTGAAGCGCGCCTGGCGAGCCGCGGCTTCGCGTAAGATAATGGTCTTTTGTAGTTCCTGGTCTAGCACCTGGCGGACGGCGTATCGGGTCGGTGCTTGGCTGGAGAGTACCAGGTTCCCTGCCGTCTCGTACACCGCGAGGGCATCGAGATCACTATTTGGGACTTTGTTAGCAGAATTCCCACCAAAAGTAGTTCACAAGAGGAGAATAGTAACTCACGGTTCCATGCGGTACACCCACTGCGGCCCCCTATTAACCAACGAATCCGTCTCGATCTTGCCCTTCTGCATCTCGATCCCGACCTCCGCCATAATCTCCGCCGCCCGCTTGACCATGATCTTCTCCGTCTCTTTCCGCACGCTAGCCGTGCTGATGCCGCTGCCGCCAATGACTACCGGCTTGACGTCCGGCGACACCATCCGGACCAAGTACGGCATGAACTCGGTCGAGATGTCTTCAGCGCTCCGGAAGGACCGCCCCAGCGTGGGCGTAAGCTGCGCCTGGATGGCCTGGAGCATGGCCCTGTTCTGCTTCTGCGCTTCAAAAGCGGCATAATCAGCTCGGGGGCCCGAGAACGGCACAGGAGGCTCGCTGTCCTCCTCTGTGGCGCCCCATTTTTTGTCGTAGCCTTTGTTGACTTGATGTCGCTTGGACGAGGCGAACAAGCTGTGGCAGGCCAAGATCGGTTGGCTCAGGTACGGCGCCAATTCCCACTCCTGACTTCCAAATGTGCGTGACGAGCAGGTGTCGAGAAAGTTCATCCAGTCGTACGCCGCATTCGGCTTTGAGAGGAACGAGTCGTCGTTAAATTCTCGGTTTGGGTACTCCAGGAAGACGTCTGTCATGACGCGCTCGACCTCTCCGCTGGTGTCAATCATGTGTCGCAACCGCTCCATTGCGTTCTTCTTGTGATACTCCGCAAAGCCCAACTGAGCCTTGGGTTGCTCGTGCTGGTTCTTGAAGTTTTGTGATGTGTCCAGGGCTTGTTTCGGGAAGCCACCGCCTTCTTGAAAGACGCGCGACACGATGTCCTTTGCACTCCCTCTCCCGAGCCCTCTAGCTCCTCCAGCGCCTTCTGTAAGGTCGTGCATCACATTTTGGTCTAGCCATTGCCTTGTCAAGCGCTCGTTGAAGCCGGCGGCAGCTTTGAAGCGCCCGGCTACCCATTCGCCGACGACCATAACTCCTCGAAGATCGCCTTCAGCTCCGCTCTCTGCGCCGCGCTTGGCATCGATGCCACTCGTCATGCCCCAAGCGGCTTCACAAACCTTGCGCGCCGCATCCTTCTCACAGGGTATACCCTCCTTGTCGAATACGGTCTTGAGGCGTGTGACGACTGCATCAATGCCCGGCTTGCCGACGTGGATTACCTCCGCCATTCCCGACTGCCGAAGAGGCCTGAGAGAGGGGTGGTAGACATCGTTGCAGATGAGGATAAGGGGGCGCAGGAGGCGAAAGTCGTCCCCCTTTTTCTTTTTCTTGGAGTACGAGGAATCGGATCCGCCAGCACTATTCTTTTGATCGATGAGCACGAGGTCAATCAAAGCCTTAACGAAACCACCCTCCCCTGAAGCGCCGGATCCACCCACGACACCGTCGACCTCATCAACAATGACGCAAGCCGGTTTGGCAACCTTTTGCTGTACCTCTCCATCTTTGGACTTGACGTTCTCGACAGTCTTGACACTCTCGGTTCCTAGGGACGTTCGTATCCGGTTCTTGACGACGTCTCGGCTGCGGTCGTCGCTGGCGTTGATCTCCATCACTTCGTACCCCGCTTGTCTCGCACAGACGTGAGCCAGAGTCGTCTTGCCGAGACCCGGTGGTCCCGTCAGCATGAGAATCTTCTTGTGCGGCTTCTCCTCCTCTTGGACCTGTTTCGCGCCTGGCCTTCGTACGATCGGAGCCTTCTTCGCAATACCGGGGAATACGATTGGGTCCCACCGCTTCAGCCAGCGCAGGACCATACGATTTGTACCATCGTCACCGCAAAGATCCAGAAAGTTCTTCGCCCTGTATTTTTCGGTCCACAGGAGGGTCTTCTTTTGAGATTTGCCAGTGTGTGTCGGCTCGACTGACCGCACTGGGACATCACTTTCCTTTCTCTTTGGGCGTGGTTCTGAAGCTTCGCTCTTGGCCTTGTCGATGAGCTCATTGATAGCTATGCCGTAGTATGCGCGCTTAGCTTTTCCCTCCTTTGTCTTGGACCGCGCCGCAATGATGCTTTCGTATGATGCGTTGGCTGTCGGCTTTCGTTGCTTGATTGTGGTAGTTGTCCCGTTACAGGTAGTGAGATTGAAGGTCCTCGAAGACTTGAAGATCGATGGCGTGTCCTGGAGTAATGATGATGCAAGGCTTTGAGGTCGGGCAGGAGGAGGGACATTTCGTGTAGGCGCAACCTCAACACGGTCATTCGTCTTTTCAGGTGCTTGGGCTATCGGCTCGAGGACATCGTCGTCCGATAGGGAGGTTATGGGCGCTGGACGTTGCAAGCGGGCGCTAAAATCGAGGAGTTGCTTTTTCAGAGGAGGCTGCTGCTCATTGTTGTCGTCGGAGTCGGAATCATCGTCAAGAAGGAAACCGCTGTTGACCTTTGGCTTTGATTTCGTCGGGTCAGCCGCCGGGGCCCTTGGGCGTTTCGCTGCGGGCGGTGATGGGCTGGCGGGAAATGTGACGGGTGAAGATGCGCTAGGCATTTTGAAGGAAAGCCCAACTGAGCTCGAACGGTTCAGTTCTCTTGTTTGCTAGTTGCGACGATGTTAAGTGTTGCGCTGAGTGCCTTAATTGCAGTCTGGCAGTTTGGTGTTCCTACAGTGACAATTATTCTTGAGAGGGGAGACGCGACTCGACGCGACGACCCTGGACGCGTTAATGATTTGGTGGGGGTTCCTGGACTTGCTCCAAGCTCCTTAGTGTACCGTGCTAATTGCGAGTTTGCCAAATCAGGCACTGTCTTCACGATGAGGGAGTACCACGATCTGTAGCTTCCGCTGACTTGATAAGCTACATCCAATTGCTTGGATCATGATATGAAAGACATGCTTTATTCTTCTCTTTCATAGTGATGAGTCTTTACCTCATCTCATCAAGATCCAGACTTCTATAGGAGTCTTGTGTCACGTACCTCGATCCGCAATGACGCACACTGAGGACCTGAAGCTGAGTTCAATGTGAGAGCAACTTACAGTAATTGGCCTGTGGGAACGCTCAATTCATCGTGATATGGTCGCTATTCGATATTCAGCTCTCACTCGAAGCTCCCATATCCTTCAATAATTCCCGATACGAGTCCGCTTCAGCCACCATCTCCTCCATACTCCTCGCCTTCCTCATCGCATCCTCAATCCTCGCAAACTTCCCTCCCGCCTCCGGCCTCCTCCCTAACTCCGCATCCCACAACGCGCCACCAACATTGCCATCTTCAGCAGACATCTGCTCATAAATCTCATCTCTCGGCCCTTCCCCATCCTTGCCCGTCTCACCGGGGACGCGCGGGATGATGTGAACGTGGACGTGCGACACCGTCTGCCCCGCGTCGGCGCCGTCCTGGACCGCAATGTTAAACGATCCGGCCTCCGGCGCCGCCGGTTCTGATCTGGACGTGGCGTTGGAGAAGTAGCGACGCGCCAGCATCTTTTGGATGAGCTGTGTCGTCGTGAAGAGGTCCGTCACCTCAGCGGGCTGGAGATCCGTGAGGCGTTTGTGAGCCTGGAGGGGGCAGACGAGGACGTGTCCTGGGAGGAGGGGCTTGAGGTTGACCAGGGCGAAGGAGTGCGCCGTCTTGTAGAAGACCTGGTCTCGTGTTAGTCTATGAGTGTAGCTGTGATGCCCGAGTTCAGGTTTCTTGAAATGAAGTAGTGCCCATGTCGCATCCATAAAACGTGCCCATAGCAAGATTGCATGAGATGCCGCAAGGCCAATTTAAGATTGACGCATAACAGGATGTCATTGACTGTAATGAAATGCAACTGACCTGGCTGGTGACCTCAAACGGCCCGAAATGAATCTTATCTTGAGAGCTCATATTTCGTCGGATATCGAGGGTTTGAGCTCGAAATACCTTCTGTGCCAAAGGCCGTGTCTTAAACATAGCCAATCGTCAACTATGTAAGCGTGATGGAGTCGATTTGTAGCTTCACTAAGAGCAGATTGATTGAGGGCGATCGTTGGTGGAGCTCGGTTTGGAAATTGTTAGCACATCTCAAAAATAGAGTGGCGTCATCATCACAGGCAAAGTCCCCTTCAACATTTCGATCCTTGCTTCTTTGCAGTTGGGCATTTCACACTCATCACACATCTCCAATTCGGATACAAATTGTTCATGCAGCTGCGGGCGACACTTTGTGCATGAATGGTGGAATAGATTTGAGAGTTGATGTACTTTTGAATTCGCCTCCCTCCGATCCGAATGCCACTTTAGACCCTAGCAGATCCCCGGTTCCTGATATAATACACAATTACATGTCGCAAATTAGATGCGACTCATTCTTTATTGGGCAAGAGTCTTCTCCTGCGCGGGGAGGAGCTTCGATTGCTGTCCCGCAAAGAACTTCTTCGACTCCAAGCATCGCTCGCTCTTGCAACCAGGGCACCGCAACTCCATCTGCGGCGAGCAGGCTACACTGCTGTCGAGATGAGCCTTGGCAATGTCGGCAAGAGCCTTGATGAAGACGGGGCTGCCGTTCAAACTCTCCACTCTCTTGACCGTCTCCGGGCTTCCAGAGTCAGCGATGACTTCGAGGTCCAGCTCGAACAAAGTCTCGATGTGGTCTGATGTGAAGGCAATGGGAATCAACACAAGGTCCTTCTGGCCCTTGTGGACGTAGTTCTCAACCGAGTCGGAGGTCTGGGGTCCTAGCCAGGCGGACGGGCCGACCTGGGACTGCCAGCAGAGGCGGTAGGGGTTGGAGAACTTGAGGCGCTGCATGACAGCGTACACGGTCGCGGCAACTTCGGCCGGGTAAGGGTCGCCTCTGTTGACCACAGACATGGGCAAGCTGTGGGCGGAGAAGATCAGGACGGCGTCCTTGCGTCTTTCCTCGGGGTATTCCAACAACTTCGCCTCAATGTTCTGTGCAAACGCCTCGACCAAGCCCGGGTGTACCGGCCAGCGATCGATCACACTCCATGAAATAGTACCGTCGCCGGGTGTCGTCTCTCCGACGGCCTTGCCCTCCAGCCTTTGCCTCCACTTCCACAACTCGTTGATGCTACTTCCTGTCGTTGAGCACGAGTACTGGGGGTATTGTGTGAATGCAACCGCTCTTCCGCCTCTTCCCTTTCCAAAGCCATCCTCGAAAAGCTTGTTGTACATCTCCTCGGTCAGAGGGTCGGCGTAGCGAAAAGCTGTGTACGGCTTGTGTGGCGCTGTCTCGGGTGAGATCTCATCGAGAATCTTGCACATCTCGGCGTTCTGATACTCAGACCACTTGCGAATAGGTGAGCCGCCACCAATATCGGCGTATTGCTTCTGGATCTTGGGAGTCCGTCGCTTCGAAATCAGGGGACCGAGGTAGTTCTGGAAACGGCCAAGAGGAATCAAGTCGCCATCTGCCTGCGCATCGTTAGCTTGCGTCGCAAAATGTAGAATGACGAGAGACCTACAAAAAGCCTGCTCAGAAAGTCTCCCACTTCGTCCGTCGTTGAAGGGCCACCCATGTTCATGAATACCATCGCCGTCGGTCCCTTGGATCCAGCAGAGTTTTGCGTCACAGGTGGTACGACCGTCGCCATTGATCTAAGCTGTGCAGCCGACTGCTTCGGCAGTGCCATGGTGAGAGGCGATGAGGCATTGCGCGCAGATGTCGTCGCCTTGGACAAGCTCCGCGAGAGCTGTCCTGTGGAGTACTTGAACGCCATTGGATCGTGACAATGGTTGAATGTGAATACACGACAAGGAAAGAGTGTAGTGCGGAGGAAAAACGTGGTTGATGTTCAAGTGGCTCTAGATTCTCGCACTTGTGGCAATCCGCGAACCCCGGTGATGCGTCGATGCTGAGCGACACTTTGAGGAATTCGGGCTTCGATGACGAAGGAAATCCCGATCTGGACAGCAGCCCACCGAGCACCGAGCAGGACCCCTGTGAGGCCGAGAAGATACCTCGATACTTACAGAATCCTCTGTTCTGGCCCTGAAACAACTGGAGTCTGGGTACTCCCCTAACTCGCAGTCGAATTGGCCAATTAGACACTGCGTAATCCAAAATCACGGCAATTACGGTCACGTGGTCGCGCGCTGTGACCAGGAGCTCCTGCGAGCTTGGCGCGCGAGCTTCCCAGCTGCGCGAAGGCCCCAGTCGCGTTGGCTGCCTGGAGCGACGCCTGGTAGCTAACCTGCAAGTGCTTGCTATATCCATCCGCTTCACAGCCAGCGCAGCGAAACACATCCCATCTTCTCTTCGTACACATTTCGAGTGACCTTTCAAAGATGGCTGATCGCGGACACTTCAAAAGAGAGGATGAGGATGAGGATGATGCTGAGGAGGAGCTTGATGAGACCGTAAGTCCTATGCACTGTGGATCATGACTTATAACTGACCTGTCGCAGGACTTCAAGGCTCAAAAAGATGCCATTTTGCTCGCCATTGACGTGAGCTCATCAATGCTGCAGCATCCGCCCGCAACAAACTCCAAGAAGGCCGATAGGGACAGTGCCGTCGAGGCAGCTTTGAAATGCGCCTACCATCTCATGCAGCAGCGCATCATCTCTAACCCCAAAGACATGATGGGCATTCTCTTCTTCGGCACGGAAAAGTCAAAGTTCCAAGAAGAAAGCGGTCGAGCAGGCTTGGGCTACCCGCACTGCTACTTGTTCGCAGACCTCGACGTTCCCGCTGCTGAAGATGTCAAGGCACTAAAGACCTTGGTCGGCGCGGATGGAGAAGAGGCCGAAGATGAAGATGAGGTGCTAGTGCCGGCGGAGGAAGAAGTCCAGATGGCCAACGTCTTTTTCTGCGCAAACCAAATCTTCACTACTAAGGCGGCGAACTTTGGCAGCAGACGACTCTTCATCATCACAGACAATGATGACCCACATGGCAAGAACAAGGATGCCAAATCGGCTGCGGCTGTCCGTGCAAAAGACTTGTACGATCTTGGAGTTGTGATCGAGCTTTTCCCCATTACCAGAGACGAGAGGAAGTTCGACCTCGGCAAATTTTACGATGTAAGTACTGAGCCGTTCGATTGGAGGGGGCAGAAAGCTGACCGTGCAGGACATCATCTATCGAGACCTAGTTGCAGAGGCCAATCTCTCCGAAACCAGAAACTCAAAGTCCGGCGATGGCCTCAGTCTCCTCAACTCATTAATATCAAACATCAACTCCAAAGAAACGCCCAAGCGCTCCCTATTCTCTAACCTCCCCTTCGAGATCGCCCCTGGACTCAGAATCTCGGTCAAGGGATACAATATTCTTCACCGTCAGACCCCAGCAAGAACATCATACATCTGGCTAGACGGCGAGAAACCTCAGCTCGCCAACGGCGAAACGACACGGATAGCCGAGGATAGTGCCCGGACGGTTGAAAAGGTCGAGTTCAAGAAGGCTTACAAATTTGGCGGCGAATACGTGCACTTTGCACCAGAGGAGCAGAAGTCTCTCAAAGACTTCGGCTCCCCCATTATCCGTATTATCGGATTCAAGCCGCGCTCTATGCTTCCCTTTTGGGCGAGTATCAAGAAATCAACATTCATCTTCCCATCAGAGGAGGACTATGTCGGCTCGACTCGTGTCTTCAGTGCTCTTTGGCAAAAGCTGCTAAAAGACAAGAAGATCGGCATCGCATGGGCTGTCACCCGTGTCAACGCTAGCCCAATTCTCGTCGCCATCATCCCTTCCCATGAGAAGTCTGAAGACGATTCAGGAACGCCCTATCTACCCGCCGGTCTTTGGCTCTACCCGCTTCCTTTCGCTGACGATCTACGCGAAGGCCCCGAGCCCCCAAGTAATCACGTCGTAAGTTCCAACGAGCTTATCGACAAGATGCGCATCATCGTCCAGCAGCTACAGCTACCGAAGGCCATGTACAACCCCAAGAAATACCCCAACCCGTCGCTGCAATGGCACTACAAGATCCTCCAGGTCTTGGCTCTCGAGGAGGAGTACCCTGAAAAGGCGGAAGATCTCACCGAGCCAAAATACAAAGCCATCAGCAAGCGTGCCGGCGGTTACCTGGATGACTGGGCCGAGACCCTACAGGACGAGACCAAGATCGCGTTGGCAAAGGCTGCGATCAAGCGCGAGGCAGACGAAGGTGACGATGAGAGGCCTGCCAAGAGAGCAAAGGCTGCGCCGAAAGCTGCAAAGGTTTCCGGGTCTGGCATGACGACGGCGCAGCTTAAGGCTGCTGTGGACAGTGGTGGATTGAGCAAGATGCTAGTCGCAGATCTCAAGGAGCTGCTTGCCGCGAGGGGACAGAGCATAGCAGGCAAGAAGAGCGAGCTGGTGGAGAGAATCGAGGAATGGGTTGAGGAGAATGCTTGATGTTACAGATGACGACTTTGCGATGAAACTGTATTATACCACTTGATGACGAGTCAACGGCAGGCTTATTTATTCCCCCGGGAGCTATCCACAAGTACGCCATGCTCAAAATTGTCATCTTGATTGTTTTGCCGATCGACTAGGTTTTTGAACATCATATTCTTCTATTTCTTCCCACACACCTGAGCTTACCGACTACGAGCTCCAGCTCGCCAACCCGGATGCTGTTCAGATGGCTCAAGCCTCCTTGCTACGCCGCGCGGTTGCCCAAGAAGCTGTCAACGACGAGCAGGCGCCCAGTCATAATCAAAGGTGAAAGCCAGAATGCCCCGCCAAGCCTCTGTCAGCACAACATAAATCCTGCCAGCTTTCTGGACCTGGGCGACACATTCGGATCCTTCTTCTGCAAGCGAGCAGCGAATATGCAGGCCAGCGTTGCAAGGTGCCCTTCAATTGGTTTTGCGGCTCAGCTTGTGACATGCTCTCCCACCCTTTCTGCAACAGCCTCATTACCTGCGAGCCTGATGACAGTATATATCACATCTAGCAAAGTAGGTCACGTTTGCCACTCCGTATGTTTATTTGTTTCCATCGTGCCTCATCTCCTCATATCCTCCCGAGGCTTGAAACTTGGATTTCTTTCCACTCTGGCAACTTTTGTGTTCCACTCAGCATTACGTAGGTTCTAAAAACCAACTGTTCATATTCAATCTACGATCGCGGCAATTCTCGCTCGCAAATAGAACTTGCCGACCATGGACACATCCGGAGAGGCCAGACGCGAGGCGTCGTCAAATTCTATCAAAAGAGAATCAAGACTCTTGCAATGGCCTCCACAAAGGCTCAAGAATGGTCTATCGAAACCATCAGAACTTCTGCTTAGTATTCTTTCTTTACTCATGGTGATTGTTATTATGACATACATCGGTATCTTGCTCCTAAATGATGGCCGAGACATAGAGAGTCTCTCGACGATGTGGAAGTTCGCTAGCGAATTTTCCCGGCTCGTAAGAATCATTGCTTCCGATAAGAATTCACTGTCAGTACTAACAATGTTCCCAGGGCCCTACGGCGGTACCCTTGATGTTTGCCTTCGTCATTGGCAGGGCTGTCAGGAGCTATGGGCATTGGAGACTCCAAAGAGGAGAGCGCATCGGGACCTTAGACAGCCTCTTCGGTTCGACCACATTGACCGGCACGATCACCACTATAATCGATCTGAAGAGGATCGGGGGCTTAGGAGGCTTGCTAGTGGTCATTTGGTCCCTGTCGCCACTGGGAGGACAAGCAGCACTTCGAGTCCTGACTCCGCGGGCCGAGGAGATATCCTTTCTCACGACCTTGCCATACCTAAATAATACTGTCGTCGGGTTCCCTTCGAGATACATGGCGGCGGGGATGGCAGGTCAACAGATTCCCATCAACGCGTTGGTCCTGGGGTCACTTGGGGCTACGGATGAAGTCAAAAACTCAAGCACAGATACATGGGGCAACATCAAAATCCCGATGATCGAGCACTTTTCGCATTATCCTCAGGTCAAGAGCAATGAATGGGTTCTGCTGGACCAGAACCAGAACGAAGTTGTGTATTCAGCAATTATCGGAATTCCCGTCGCCAATATTTCTCGAAGACACAGGTCGGACTTCATTTTAGAGACTTCATATCTGAAGTTAGACTGCACTGAGCTTCGTAATTTCACAGGAAACATCTCCGAGGCGGTGGACCCCAAGCGCAAAGGATGCGCTGAGATTGACGGCTTGATCGGAGGCACCTGCAATTACAAATTCAAATGGGGAGGACTTGCCACTGTTCCCTATCCATATGGGATGCAAAACTCATCACGATCGTATGAGCGCTGTACTGAGCCTCGAGTCGCAGCTAGGGGCTTGCATTACTGGAACTATGAATCTTACAAAGGAAGAGGTGGGTATACACTTGCCAAATGTTCTATGACCACGTCATTCGTCGACGTTCGCGTCTCGTGCTTAGGATGGAACTGCAAGGCTGTGGCCGTACGACCGTCTGCGTCAGCACCAAACGTATGGCAGCACACAAACAGAACCTTCTTCGACAGCTGTCCCCTAGAACTCGTTGGTACATGGAGTTGGTTCTTCAAGTACTTCGAGACTATAGCTGACAGCAATACCGGGGGAGTAGGCTCGACTAGTATCATACAGTCGTTCTTAGTCGATCCTGATTTGGGGCTGAACGTTTCAGCAGCATGGAGCCTCCCACCGATCTACGAGGTGGGGAAAGAACTGTTTTCGGTTCGCCTGGGCCAGCTTCTGAACACCTACTGGTGGGCTATGATAGGCACCGAGCCTTTGTTCTTGGGCCATCCCGAGAACTACGACGACTTGTCAAGATGGGACAGGGGAATTGATGGTGACAATTATGTGATTGCAAAGACCCAGGCTACTGAATACGTAAACGTACAGGTCCTCCGATATAACAAAGCCTGGATGACGGTTCTTATTGTGGCAACTTTGGTGTTGCTACTTACAACAGTCTTGGATTTTGCGCTGAGCCTGAAGATTTGGGTCCCTAAGCTTCTCATGAACATATCAACTTTGACGAGGGGCAACCCAAACTTCGACGTGCCGGCTGGCGGCGGAGCGCTGCCTGATGAGGCCAGGGCTAAGCTTTTGGCCAACGTCAAAGTTAGGTTCGGAGACGCTGAAGGTGTCGATGAGTCCCATGATCTTGTCATTGGAAATTGTGTGGAGCATGGGGGTCGCGTGTCTAAATTGATGAAGGGGAAACTTTACACTTGACGGGCCAACTACTGAGATTACGACAGGTTCTTCTTGCCTTTTATCAGGCAAGATCTTCTAGACTTTAGCAAAGATCTCACAAGAGAGATAGTGCCTTGATATCATTCGAAATGAGATTCAGGATGAACGCGGTCTCCATCGTAGCGTTGTAAACCAGCCCATTTACTTACCACCTCTAAGAGGATGTGAAGACCACCAGATTTCTCAGGTGGCCTATCCTTGCGAACCAGACCTTCTCCGGCATATCGGACTTAGATAGCTGTCGCAATTCGATGAAGTGAAACCGATCGGGCACTTGTGGCGGAGAAGATTCCCGACGGACTCCTAAGGAGCTATCTCAAACCCGTGAGGGGCCGGCAAGACTGCCCCCAAAAAGAGAGTTGTGGGAGGCGCAATCAGTACCCGCGACACCCATCATTCGTCATTGTGTTTGAAATGAATTGTGACTTAAAGGCAACCTTTAGATGAGATGGCGGCGCCAGATGAGGTTCTTCGGTCTTGTTCAGACTCTCAGGTTCGCAACTTGTACGAATACTGAAGTGCTGCTCTAAACAGAAGACGGCGTGTTGCAGAGGATGGCGCTTGGACTGGCGCAGCTAGCGAGTCCAGACGTCCATGATAGGTCTGCGTAAGACCAAATGAAAGCATCAAATCCGGCATGGTGTAGCGGTTAGCATACTCCGCTTTCATAGAAAGTCCCGGAGAGATCCGAGTTCGACTCTCGGTGTCGGAACGCCTACATTTTTGCGGCTTGTGAGAAAGACCCGACGCCAAATAGCAAATACCGCTTTTACCAAATGTTGCGAGAGCATTTGGCGAGGCAGGAGATCGATTCGCTGATTGCTATACCTTTCTTTATTCATGACGTGGTAACTGAATTACTGTTTATGGTCTGTGCTATGTGGGCGACACCATCTAGCTGAACTCAAAATGTCATTTGCTGTACCGGTATTAGTGGCGCGAACCACATGGATTTCTACCCACCTTTTAGGCCTCACTCATTGAATTTGGACCAGTCTTACAACCGACATCACATATGATCATTGAGATGATATGTTTCGATGCTAGATTTTTTTCCTGTATTTCTTCTTCTTTCCGAAAGAGGACAGCGGATGAGTTGATCACAAGCACTGATCAATGTGCCTTGTAAGTGCCGTCACTGGCCAAAACCTCTGGCATATATCTACACATTGACCAACGCCCTCTCATCCAACCCTCTCAATTACACCTCCTGACATTAAACCCCCCACCGTAATTCGGAATCGGATTCGCGCTCACATGTCCAAAAAAGTACCGATGATACCGATTCGAATCCTCCCCGTCCGCGACCGCATAACACGACCCTCCCTTCCCCGGGTCGCGATCAATCACCTTCTTTCGCGCGCCAGGCCTCTCCTCTTTAACATCGACCGACATTTGGCAGTAACTGAAATACCAGTCCTGGCACTCTGCGACATAACACTGGTTCGTTAGGCCCCGTAGGGGCTCGGTGCCGAACACGTTGTTGAAGACGTCGTACATGATCAACAGAGCTTCTTTGGTGTTTCTTTGGCCGATGCGGTTGCAGGTCCAGTCTGTTTCTCCGCGCTTTTGGAGGGAGGAGGGGGAGGTGTTGGTGGTGGGTAGATCCCATGCTAGCGGGCTTGCGTTGCTGCGATTGAGAGCGTTGAGGAGGTCTGCTGGGTGCTGGCGATGAGTTCCGTTGGTGGTGGTGGTGGTGTTTGCTCGCTCAACAGAGGGCGTAGATCTCTTCCAACCATCAGAGCCACCTCTGGTATCGGAGCATCCCGCGCACTGGACGAAGCCCCCCTGTCCCTCGCGGAACTTTGGCTTCTCAAAGGGATCTTCACTGTTCCCTCTGTCTCTGAGGACCCGGTTCCACGGACCGTCCTCGACATCTCTCCTCTCAGGATCAGAGTATGCATCTTTATCCAAGGTGCCTTGCTCGTGGACTCTCCTGACAACTTCATCCTCCCCGTCCTCGGAAAGGTCGTCGTCAACCTCAACCTCCTCGATTAACGTCCACTCTAGATCATGTTCATCGATAACCGTCCGTAATGCCTCCATGTTGATCGGATCACCCCGCGCCACGCGCACTCTGCCCTCATCGTTCTCGGAGAAGCGGACGCCGTAAAAAGGCTTGTTACTATCGCTGCCATCGTTGTGTCTCGTGTTATAGGGCCGGTTGAGAATTTCTCTGAACATGTCTTCCCCGTCCCCGTTGAAGTCCACATCCAGGATGGTTTTTAGCTGCCGGGGAGGTGAAAGGGCCCGTCGCGGAGCACCGAGGGTGAGAAGGGCGGTTTGAAGGAGAAGTAGGCAAATCAGAGGAAAGATCTTATGGGAAGATGTCAGCCTTACCGCTTCAATGATCTGGAGCCCCTATTGAAAAATTTACCATTGTGCAGAGTTCGAACGGGTTCTCTAGCCAGCGAAGACGTTCGTTCTGTTTGAGTTGCCGTTACGGTGAAGAATAGGAGTGAACAGAGAGCGCATAAACCTGATCAAGAGGTAGGTGTTGACAGTCTTTTTGACTGATTCTGGACGAAGCAAGGGTCGGATGACGGTCGTACGGCCCATTCTTACACACAAAGCTCTGGTTAATGGCCAAGGTGCCGAGACCAAGGGAGGACAGAAGCCTTCATTCAGAGTCCTTCAGAGTCAATGAAAGTGGCCAGTCCAATCTCTGTGAAGTAGGCAAGACTCTGGAGCCAGTCTCTCGACAAGAACACATATGAACAATCAAGGAAAGGTGTATTGATGGTATCGAGGGATACTCTTGTATCCAGTGCGGCAAAATCGCCGATGCTCTAAATCGAAAGAACCACAACTCTCTAGCGCTCAATGGCGCTGACGTCTATGTTCTAGGTATCCCAATCCTCCTCTCGCTATTCTTGTGAAAACACAGACAATACATAGAACGTACAACTCGCCAAATCCCAAAGCCAAAACCCAGAGTTTAGTTATTGGGTATCAGCTCATCCTCCGTCAATACTTCCAGGGCCTCTGAGTTGGCGTTTGAGCTCGGCTGGGGCGCCGATGAAGGGACGGGCTCGTAAGTCTCCTCGAGGAACACTGTGTTTCCGGTTAGTAAAGGGGATTTCTGGTACGTCGCAAGCATTATTAAATGACTTACCACCGGGCCGCACAATAAAGCTGGCCAACAAAGCCAAACCAAACAGAGATGCAAGGAGGACGAAGATGGCCTGGTCAAAAACGCCGACAGTGGAGTAGTAAAGGGTGTTGAAGGCGATCGGACCCAACACCCTCGAGAGAGCATGGAGGACGCCAATGGCGCCGAGCAGCTGACCGACCTGATCCGCGGGCACATGCTTGGTGATGGCGGCTTGGATGGTCGCACTGCCGAGACCGCCAAAAGCAGTGACCATGCCAGAGAGCACGAAGACGGCCTCATTTCTCGCAAACAGGTAACCCAGGGAGCCTGTGACGTCCGAGAGCAGGGCGAAGCGGAGAATCCAGCAGTCGACGCTGTCGGCGCCGTTGTTCGCCTCGACGATGGAAACACCCGAGACCCTCCTACGGTAGGCTGCGGGCCGCACGCGGAAAACGTAGTTGACGAGGGGTAGGACGACGAGCAGCGCGACGACGCGGACCATGGAAACGGCGGAGATGTAGCGGGAGCTCTCTAGGGTGCCCCAGCCCCATGTCTCAGGGGACTCGGAGTAGAGAAGGATGACGGTGCCGGCGCTCATAGCGGAGCCCAGGAGGATCATGTCGGTAAACGAGAGCGCGGCGATGTTGAGACGCAGCCTCGAGGAGGTGCCGGGTCCCGTGGGCCACAGCGTCTTGAGGGGAGCCAGAGGGTTGGCCGCCTTGACCGTGGACCAGGTTCCGGCACCAGCCTTGGCCTCCTTTTCTTGCTTGTGCTTTTGGCGGGCGCGGAGCTGACGCTTCACGCTGAGGGACTCGGGAACGATGAATCCGACAAAGATGATGAAGTAGATGTGGCATCCCATGGTGACGTAGAAAACGGAGAGTAAGTTGCCGGTCCAGGCGGCAAAGTAACCAGTCAGAAGGGGGCCAAAGGCAAGGCCGCTGAAGAGGCAGGCGTGAAGATATCCGATGCGCACACCACGCTGAGACGGCGCGGTACAGTCGCTGGTGTACGAGTTGATGAGAACGCTACCAGCCGTGAAGGATCCAGTGAGGCCGTCGGCTACGGCGCCGAGAAGCAGCCAGTTGTAGTGGAACGTCCAGGGGAAGTTGGCACACATGATGACGATGAGCTCGGCCACGACGCCGCCGCAGGACGCCAGAGCCAGGAGTTTCCGACGGCCATAACGGTCCGAGAGCTGGCCCAACTTCGGAGCGGTGATTGCGGACAGGATGCCGGTCAACAGGTTGATGGCCAGAGTGAACATGGACACACGCTTCTTAACCTCGGGGATGAGGCATTGCGGGTTATCCGCGCCGAGTATCACGGGTGTGAAAACGAAGGCCGGGTCCAGCGCCGTCTCATCGGCAAAATGCCTTTGGCATACCAGATCGACGATTCTGTGTTGCACATGAGATTAGCGACTGCGATCGGCCGCCAAGACATCACGAGATCATTTGTGACATACAGGTTCAGCTTGGGCACCAGAGAGCCTCCAAAGGCCAGCGTGAAGAGAGCATACGGGATCAGAAGCCAGAAGACCTGGCGCACAGAAAGTCAGCACGATTGTTCGGGACCACAGGGCGGCCCGGGCCGGAGACAAAAAAGAGAGAATCCTACAGAGGGAGTCTTCCACCACGGCAAGTGTTCGAAATCCGCATAACCCGGCCATGTATCTTCGCAGGAGCTTTCGCCGTCGCGAGCGCCTGCGCTCAACAGCGATGTGGTCTCTGTTGCCTCGTTTATGGGTTTCCCGTGGACGTCCTGGTCCACCCGGGTGACAATGATGTCGTCTTTTGGTGCCGACATTTTTGACTATTTTGATGTTGTTATTGCTGCTCGTGCGCTGTATCGAGTTCGAGTGTCGTGTAGTGTAGCGTGCTTGGTGCAGAACACAGCACAACTGTCGCAAGTAGGTTCCAAAGACTTTTTGAGCTTGATAACTGACAGACAGAAGGCTGCGAAGTTTCGTATCGAGTATCCGTGTCTTTGGGAGGGCTGTATCGTCGAGTATTGGCCCTATATCCTGACTTGGACTGTATCTTTGGGGGTGAGCGCGGCAAGATGTACAGAGCGACACTGCCACGATTCCATTCCTGAAGGATCGTGTTGGACGTACACAGCAGTTAGACGCCTCTCCGAGAGTGTAACTGTCAAGTCGCAAGAGGGACCAAAGCTGGAAAGGCAGAGGGGTATGAATACATGAGCAAGGGAAGAGAAGCGCTATGCCCGGCGCAACGAGAAGTGGGAATGGGAAAAGAAATAGAAACCCGAGCTACGTAGCAGAGGACCGGGGTGCGCTGCCCACATCGAGAGATAAGGCGGGTGTGGGACAGCGATGGACGCTGGTGAAATCGAGCCAAGGGCCCGGGCGAGCGAGAGACAACTGCACGACCACACATAACCAGAACTGAACGGGGGGGGGGGGGGGGGGGCTCCGGGGGGGGGGGGGAAAGAGGGGGGGGGCCAACCGGGGGCGGGGGGGGGAGGGGGGGGGGGTGGGCGGGGGGCGGGGGGGGGGGGGGGAAGGCGAACCACGCACAAACAGAAGGGGGGGGGGGGGGGGGGGGGGGGGGGGGGGGCGGCTTCGACTTTGGGTGTGGAACAATGTGGGATGGGCCAACCTAGGTGCTAGGATGGGAATGGGATGGGATGTGTCGTGGACTCGTGGAATGGGAACAGCGCCCCCCCGGACATGGATCGTAATGTTCACTTCAGAAAGCGGAAGGTCATAGCATCTCTCGAGGCGCCAGTGATTCCTATTGGAGCGGCGTGGGGACGTTGACAAGATCAGAGAGAGACAGAGAGAGACAGAGCAGCGCAACGCTTCGTCCGGCGTCCGTAACGGCCTAAACACGTTTCGGTTGGGGCCCTTGAGGCTTGGGAGGCGTTGTATTGACGGGTCACGGGGAACTCGGGGATTCTGAAGGAGACTGGAGACCAGCAAAAAGTCCATCATATTGCGGTCATGTCTGAGAGTTTGTGAGTTGTATTGGCTGTATTGTGTGGGTGGGATTAGCCCAGCGAGGGGAACTGAAGATGGTAGTGATTTGCTTGTAAATCCTCGTAACCGAAGTAGACAGGGAGGTACTTAATTCATGGTCGGGGACTCGGGGAAGATGGACTGAGGTCTCTCAGCCTCTCTTTTCGAGCAGAATTCTCAGTAACAGACAGGATACGGTACAAGTTACAAAGACCGAGAGGAAAGGGAAGAAAGAGGTGACGACGAGACAAGACGACAGGACGCTCCCTGCCGCGGGTTGAGGAGCAACCATCCCGTGGGACGGTGGGATAGGTGCGTGCCTGCCGGACTTAAGAGTGACCCCGTGTGAGTGAACCAATCTCGTGGGACAGCAGGCGCATGAGTTGGCGTCTGCCAGGCCTATCCATGACGCAGTTTCGCAGCTTCAAGGTCGATAAGGGGGGTGCCACAGTACCTCCAGAACCTGGGAAGTTCAGCCACAACCCAGATCTGTCAGGGCCGCCGTTGCTCTGTTGGAGGGGGGGCCAAACTCTTGTCTCTCGATGCTCTGTGTACGTACTCCCCATACCTTAGTTCACTTAGTGTAGACAACTCCGCAAGCTTGAGAAGATGATTTCTAAGCTTGAGCCACTCCCGCGCGGGCACTTTGCTCCAAGTTACATCACCAGAGTCAACTCCGCAGCCCGTCTGACGAACTATCCGAAAACAGAGTGACAGAGTCCCAACGCCCACCGGCTCGCCAAAAAGACGTTGTTAACTTTCAGCCTGTCAACTCGTCGTACCTAACCACCTAGGTAGTACCATCGCTGTCGCAGTTCAGCAGGCTTCAGATGTCCGAAGTCCGGTTTATCAAAAGACAGTCAATGAACCCTCTCGTGCGCGCGCGCGCGCGGGGTGCCACGTACCTAGGTAGTTGCACAAAGACATGTTGCATACACAATTCCCGTCTCCTCCCCTTTACCTGAACGCCAGCACAAACTTTGATGCCCAAAATGGCAGCACAGCAATACTTCGTCCAACACGACTCGACAAGGTTCGGTGGTCGGCATGTTTCAGCACCGACTGGCGGACCGGTCCCGCGGAACCACTCTCCTGGAAGACGCCACGCTTTTTCCTCACATTCACTGGAAGTTTGCCCTGCTCTCTATGAATTCTGTCCAAGTTCCCCCTCTCTTTCACTGAGCTGGAAAGGTCGGCAGGTTTCGTCTCATCGTTGTCGTTATCGTATTCCGGTTTCCGATTCGGTGGCCCCTCTCAAGACAACCCGAGAGCGACTCGGACCACTTGGTCGTAGATAGATTATCCCATCTGCGTCTTGGGGGGATGTGTTTGCCGCCATCCGACGGCATATCCCCTGGGCTCCCGCGAGGGTGCGCTGTCTTGTTTGGACTCTGAGAGACGGCCACTCTTAAATTGTCAGATGGTGTTTTGCGCAAGCGACAACGTGCTGTCATTGCCTTTCTCGCCATGTGCTCGGTGCTGTTTGGATCGCCTGCTGCCGTGTTCCGCGGTGCCTGATACCAGGAAACGGCTTGTTGAACAGCATGAGTCGGCATCTTGTGTTGGCTCCGCTCAACTGCGTGAACCCCAGAAGCCACGCCATATTGCAAAGCAAGTGCTCAGAGCTCGTCACGAACAACTCATCCACCAGACATATGTCCTCTTGTAATTGATTATGGTGCTGCATCGGAGGACAGAGGAAACCCCTCTCTTTCAACCCAACAGGACGCGTGGATGCTACTATGCCTCGGCAGCAGAATAAGGAAAGTGAGGGGGTGACAAGTTGAGAGTTCATGAATGCGGCTGCTCTTATCAATCTAGTAGCGGAGCTGGGCCGCCAATCAATGCCAAGATCCATGCACCCTCACCTTGTGTCGTCGTAATTGACTTCGATCTATGCTCGCAGTACATTGCTTGAGTACCTAGGGCAGCAGCATATACGATGTTAAACTTCCAGCTCGAAACCGCGGGCTTCGTAAAAATGCCGCCGTTATCTAGAATCGGAAAGATGCAAGAATGGTGTGTTTCTGACTGTCCAGAAATGCGATTGCTACAATCGGCTTTCGTATACTTTGGGTCAAAGCATTTCTGGCAAGAGTTTATTTCGCTTGGCTTGAGACGTTCTAGCCAGAGAGAAGCTTGCACCGGTGGCCCTGTCGGACTTTCAATCCGGACAGTCAGTACTCCGTAATTACACTAGGAATTAAGTTCTCTTGGAAATTTCAATCTTCACCGAGGATACCGAAACGCCGAGGTGTGTCTCGGTGAGCTGCATTAGGCTCTCGATGTGGAGCCAATCACTACCACTCACAAGAGCTGACTAAGACATGCCAAGCCGCTCTCAGCCTTGTGTACCCATCCTTCACGATTGGCCTCGCATCACAATTTCTTTCGCGCAACGCCCTCGCGAAGGGGACTTTCGATAACCACAACCCGCGCCGCAATCCGAATATCTTCAGCACTCGTCGTCATAATGGGTGTCGTCAAGGGAGGCGTTTGGACCAACATCGAGGATGAAATCCTCAAGGCCTCAGTGTCAAAATATGGTCTGAACCAGTGGGCGCGTGTCTCGTCACTGCTCGCGCGCAAGACCCCGAAGCAGTGCAAGGCAAGATGGAACGAATGGCTGGACCCGAGCATCAAAAAGACGGAATGGAGCAAAGAGGAGGACGAGAAGCTTCTGCACCTCGCCAAGCTTATGCCAACACAATGGCGCACCATCGCTCCTGCCGTCGGCCGAACCGCCAACCAGTGTCTCGAGCGATACCAGAAGCTCCTCGACGAAGCCGAAGCAAGAGAAGCTAGCCAATTTGGACTCGCTGGTATCGATGGCGGCGAGGCATCGGCACCCAGCGCCGACGATGTTAGACGATTGCGCCCTGGCGAAGTCGACCCAGACCCAGAGAGCAAGCCCGCCCGACCCGACACGATCGATCTCGACGAGGATGAAAAGGAGATGCTGAGCGAAGCCCGAGCGCGTCTAGCCAACACACAGGGCAAAAAGGCCAAGAGAAAGGCAAGGGAACGTCAGCAGGAGGAGTCGCGCCGTTTGGCAGCGCTGCAGAAGCGACGCGAGCTCAAAACGGCCGGCATCAACATCAAGGTCGTCACGCGCAAGAAGGGCCAGATGGACTACAATGCCGACATTCCTTTTGAGAAGAAGGCTGCCCCAGGGTTCTACGATACCGCTGAAGAACAGGTCCGAAACGAGCACCAGCGAGAGGCTTTCGACCCGAGGAAACAACAGCTCGCGAGCAAGCGTAAGGGCGATGGCGACGATGATGGAGACAACAAGAGGAGGAAGAAGGAAAAGGAGGCGCCCTCAGCATCATTCCAGGCTGCCGTGAAGGCGGGACAGATGCAGAAGATCAGAGAGGCTGAGCAGAGCAGCAAGAGAAGAGCGCTGAATCTGCCTGCTCCTCAAGTCAGCGAGGGCGAGTTGGAGGAGATTGTCAAGATGGGTATGATGGGCGAGAGGGCAAGCATGATGGCGCGCCAGAGCGAGAACGATGCAACCCGTGGCCTGATTAGCGAATACTCGACCCTGAACAACAACGCCCCGATCCGAACCCCTCGAGCTCCCGCCCAGGAAGACCACATCGCAAACGAGATCCGGAATATCAGAGCCTTAACGATCACCCAGTCTTCACTACTCGGTGGCGAGAATACTCCGCTACACGAAGGAACCGAGTCGACTGGATTCGATGGCGTCGCCCCCCGCAAGCAAGTGGTTGCGACACCGAACCCCCTGGCGACACCAATGCATACAGATAGCGTAGGACAAACACCGGCACGCGTTGGACAGACTCCGATGAGGACGCCCCGC